CCTTGCGATTTTGCTGTGGCACGAAAAGTGCAAAAACGCATAATCGCACCGGCCCGCCTGGTGCGTCCCAGCCTGGGTTACCTACTCTTCTAATATCTCCTTCTGTAAAAAGTTGAGAGGTTAGTTTGTCTGCATACTGAATCGTCTCACAAAAACAGTAGTCTAAGTTGATTCATTCTGTACTCATAATATTTTGGGTAGTTTGGAATCGTAAATATCAAGACACCCCGTATAATCAGTATAAGCCCCTTACGTTAATTTTGTTACCGAAACGCTTTCGCACACCGGTATAGGGTCACCAGGACAGTCTGGTGCTATAGTGATATAGACAAAGCTATTACTAATGGTTCTTCCGCACATTCCTTTTGGAAAAGATGCTGTTAGCAAATTTTTGAGTCCATTGACGAATATTTGTTTCAGTTTGAGTATTGAGTAACCCATTTTGAGTATCAAAGTTGTTTGTGGCGAAATCTGAAATTTGAGAAATATTAGTTTTTATGTAAGTGAGAAAAAAGTTCACTCTCAAAAAGACGCAGTATTAAATCAGTTGGGAAAATACGATTTGAAAAAAAAGTTCTCCAAAATTAGAAATTTTATTTGCCATGCATTTCTCTTGCTAATTATTAAAATTTCCAGCCAACTTATGGATCGGTTTCGAATTCGGATCATTGGACAGCACTGATTGCATTGCTTACTGCACGCGTTCATGATTTCGCTAGAACAATCAACACATATGATAATGTAATACCTACTTTGATCAGCAGCAATTCACAGTCTGATTTACTGTTTGTGCAGCTAACATCTTTTTCAGCTGTACTGACCAGCGCTGCATCGTCTGTTGACCAGTCTGCCTCGGATCCTGACGCTCATTTCGATCACTAGACTTCAAATACCACTTCCATTACCTGAATTTGGAAGTGATATTTTTTTCATTGAACAGATTATAACAAATTATCGTCGAAAATTAAAAGTTTGTCGCCCAAAGGGGCGCTTGCTCTCTTCTCCTGTAGTTATTTCAAAGTCGTGAGCTAACCTACTTATAGGTAACTCTTCCGGAGCAGCAGCGTATGGTTGCCTTCAGTTGGCTGAGTGTGCATCTTCTGCATGTCGTCCATCAGTATGACCCGGTATATCAGTCACTTGTATTGGCGGACGGTAGCAGATATAAAGAAACGAGGAATAATGATCCTGAACAGGACGAGAGGACCCAAATTTACACAGAGCTGCTCGGACTGGCCAAAACATTCTATCCTTTGCAGCTGGACAACCGCCAGCTAGCCCTACTCTCCGCCTTCTTCATCTACAATCCAGAAAACATGAAAGGATCTGTAAGTTTTTGAAGACTGATGGAAACTTCATGTTCATTACTTATGGCCATTTTCCCGCTCTCAGTTGTTGTATCTTCCCAGCAGAAATGCTTAAAGAATGTTTTTTATCATCATATGGTCGGATGTATATCGAGCACCTAGAAGTTCTATGAGAAGTCACTCCAGGAGTGAGGGAGGAGGACTAATTTCCTGAACACATAAGTGAAAAAGGAGCTTCGTGAATGTGTTTAAGTACCAACAGTAAAAAAAACCGTCGAGTTGCCATGTGTAACTAAAAGTTTTTTTTTAGGATTTGTGAATGTAGTGAATGATTTTTAGTACCGTCTGGCTTCCTAACTCAACTGGTCAGATTTTTTAATCATACAGTTAGCAGCGGAAGTGACGTAGAATATTCAATATCTTTCTACCTCTCTCTTGCTGCAAAGCTGCAATAATACATGAATAGACAGTAAGCCAAAAATTATGTAAATTTCAGCGAGCAGAAGTGGAAAAAACGCAAGAAAACATATGGATGTGCTTGAAAAGCATCACTGAATCGGATGACGACGACGAGTCGCCCGATTTGCGCAGCTGGGCTGGTCTGCTAAGCAGAGTCCAGCAATTCCAGATTACAGTTTCTGAAATGCGGCATTTTTTCTTAAACAAGGAGAACATTGACGCCATGCGACCCCTGTTCCTGGCTTAACCGTTGCTACACTGAGTTAGCTGTAGACCAGGAAGACAAGCGCAATGAGAAGCACATGCGGTAGTCGAATGAGTTCAGCACGCTGAAATAATTCAGGAATAGTGAGTAGATTTTTCTCGCAAGCAGAAAGATGAGTGGATTAACGTGAGTACCACTACAGGGCTAATAATTCGTGGCATGGTCAGGACTGCTTGAAGTGAGGGTCCGGTAATCGGTGCTCTTTTTTGGAAGAGGGAGAGGAAAGAGGACAAATCAGTTCTGGAAACTTTTGGTAATGACTCTGATGGGACATATCTCCTTCATATTTACCTGGCTAGACAATAATATTAGAACGAACATAGACTTGCACAAATAGATCACTGTAGGCCGCAGGCAAAGTTACGTCCTGTAAAAAATGAAACGTTTCAGGAACTGGAATGCAGGTAGGCGAAGGAAGGGGCGAATGCTTTTTTTTGTATAAACTTCAAGTTCAAATTCTTTTATCTAGTAGATACTTAATGCATGAAAGAAGAATTTTTTGAAATTGGCTTTTTTCAGGTACCGCGAAACTGCAGAATTACTGCGAAGCACAACTGAACGAAGAATTCCGCTTGTTCAAAAAAAAAAACTTTTTCAAAAAAAATTTTTTAAACAGCTCGAAAATTTCCTCAAATTTTGTTTTTTTTTTTGTTTTTTGAGATGTTCTGAACAAATTACGAAAGAATCATTGTAAAAAAATTTTTTTACTCCCTTTTTAGTACCTCACAAGAATTTTGCAAGTTCTAAACATTTTTTACTTTTTAAAAAATTTCAAAACAGTATAGCAAAGTTTTTTAAAAAAATCTTTTCTTTACTTCCCGCTAGTGTATCACAGGAGTTTTGGAAAATCTGAAATTTCTTGTCATTTCAGGTTCGAGGGCCGATGTCGAGGACAAAGTCATCTTATGGAGTTCGTTTCCAGTTTTTATACTTTTTCTCGAATTTTTCTCTCTTTAGAGTGAATTTTCGCTTTTTTTAAAGTTTAGAATCAATTTCGCAGATTTTTCCACTTTTGCTATTTATTTTGCGCACTTTTTGACAACACTTTCGAATAAATCTTTTTTTTTTCTCTCACTGTGTTTGCACATGTTTTTAAAAAATAATGCTATTGGTCGACCGCCGGATAACCCAACTTCTGCATTCCGTCTCTGGGAAGTTAGTGGACTACTGGCGGCGCTACAAAAACCCACTGGCCAAAACAAATCCATATTTTTAGCCTGGAATCAATGCTACCCACTGTTGCCTCGAAACTGGGCTAAATCCTTTAGAAAAAGTGGGGTGTAAAAGTTCGGGGATCATCTGGAAAAAAGTAGAAAACATTGAACATCGGCTTACATATCAGTAACGATAGGACATTTTTTCACAGGTTTCGAATACAAGTTATTGTTGTTCTGACTATTGACCACCTCATACATACAGTTATCATAGAGGGCAGTTTTTAAGTTGGAGGATGAATTTGAGTTGCATTTGCTGTCAAGCGCTCGGATGGTTGAACCTGCGAAGAACACCTCAACCGATTCACTGCGACCTTCCTCCTCATCCGCATCCACCATACTGTACACCAGCTGAATATGCAATACATATCGAAAAACTTCATCAACATCAGTACGGGATTCCAAAATTGCTTTTCAGACCCAGCATTTTTTAATATTTTTGTACCACTGTTGCAACACAAAACCGGAATTCTGTGGGTATGTATGTCTGTGCTTGTCTGTCTATGCTTCAAAATATTTCAAACCCAGAAGTATGGAAGTTAAGAAGCTTAATTTTTGTCAGTAAAATCGCATGTGTAGCATTGAAAATGAATCAATTTTCAAGTTACTCCCTGCTCCAGCTTTCGAATTCGATCCATATTCCAGCAGATTTCACAGCTGTGTGATTTGAAGTGTCAGAAATAAAGTTTGTAGCAGCAAATGATGCAAAACAGCTAAAAGTCGATCTTCGAGTCCCCCCACACTCTAATCTTTAACTCTATATCATATCCAGAAAAATTTTGAAATTTAGCAACCAATACGCCAAAAACTCCGGTAATTAAGTTGCTGAGGAAGAAATCAACTCACATCTCTTACAACTCACTCCTCCCCGCCCTTTGCTATCTTTTACGAGTTTTGGTAATTTCAACAAAAATGCACCGCAGAAATTTGGGAATGTATTCTCAGGAAGAGCAACACTTGAAGCAAATGTCTCACGAAGAGTATCACTTGCTACATGCAGCAATGCTGGTAAAGCAAGCATAGTGCGCTGCCTGGAAGAATTTGCTTTCTCTTGTGAAACTGTGCCCATTATCCTTCCGACGGAACATTTTACGGAACTGCTTTGTTGCACCATTCGCCGTATATTGAGTGAATCTGTAAGTCTCAAAACCAATGTATACTAAAATTTCTGAATAGTACAAAATTACCGGCTGTTGAGAAATTTCAGCACAAACAGCGCGCACAATAGATTTTAGCGTTTTCTGTTCGCTGCCACTACGATCGACCACAATGCGTTGTCCATCCTCTGCCCACCCAATGTGTACAACGTGTCTGAAAATCCAGAAATTTGCTGAGCGTTTGAAGTGAATTTGAATATAACGTTGGAACTGAATAGGAATAATCTGTAATATAATAAATCATAAAAGTCAACATAAGCAGTAACATAACTAGAAATTTTTCAAAGCAAACACATTTAGTTCATTGTTGGGTCGAACAACAAAGCCAAAATTACATTTGAATAAGTGACACATAGTGGTAGCATAGTAAATTCGTAAATTTTTTCGAAAAACGTGCCTTTCTTCCCGAAAAAGCCGATTTTCCCCTTCCCATCTCCTCATTCCTCCGCCTTTTCTTTCTTCCTCATGCCTCCCCCCTCCCGTCCTCCTCTACTTCAGCTCTTCGCAAGCTAACCCGTGGTAATAAAATTGCAGTGACATTTCGGCAACGATGAAGCGCATCCAAATTTTTTTGAGAGTAGAACCTCTGTTCTAGCGCACTCGCAAAGAAAGTTGAGCGGGACTAGCTCAGGATGTTAAAGCATATTACAGGCATATCCGAATATCAAGAAAAGAGTTGTCTTCAGCATACTTTTTATAAGAAGTACGTAACTAGTGCATGAAAACTTGACCCGTCTGACAACTAGTAAGAACAACTTTAAGTAATATCATATCGCAGGATGTTGATATTGTTTTTGCGAATTCAACAATTTTAGACTGACTTAAAACAGTATGCACAGCCATCGGTTATGCAGTAAGAATTTTTTGCCTGAAAGAAATATATTCCTCCTGCAATCGCTCCTCTCGACATTGTTTTTACTTACAAACAAGAATTCCCGAAGCTCTATCCACTATGCTACTGATGGACAGTGGATCAAGGAAATCCAAACTGTGCCTTGAAGTAGCACATCTGCTTTTTGTCCGCTTAAATGATCCTTATTATTTTTTGATAATTTTAT